AAATTGCAGCATGGCAATGGAAGAACCTCTGAAAGGGAACAAGTGCAGGGTGGAAGTAAATATGGAAGTCCTGATAATTGCCTTTGCATTCCTTCTTTTTGCTTACCTTGCAGTTTTTTTTTAATACAAAAATAAGTTTTGGTCTGAAGTAGTATCAAAGCAGGAATTGGCTCAAGTGAAGGGCAATTAGAATGTTTACGGGATGTAGCAAACCTGAGAACAGCTGCCCTGTTTGCAGGCATCCTATTCCACTTATAAAGACCCCACCCATTGTGCACCAATCCAGACCTGTGTGCAGGTACCAATTTGTTACCTCTGTATTTAGTCTGGCAGTTGTACCTCAGTGAGATTCTTAACATTAAGGAGACTGGCTGGGTACGACTGTAAAAAGAACTCCCTAAAGGTAGGTTAAAGGATGTCTCAGATGTGAACAAAAAGGCAGATTAAAGGAACCTGATAGGATGCTAGCTTTCATTTTCCATTTAAAATTTCCTTGGTAAGTTTCTGACCTCTTGCTTAACACCAGACTTTAATCCCCTCTAAGGGTCTAAATTATGAAGTGGAATTCCCCTAATTACCAATGCTTCCTTGAGAGGGTAAAGAAAGGAATCGCATAAGGTAATGTCTTGAATTTAGTGAGACCAGATAAGAAGCCTCTACCTTTCCTGTGAATGGAAATGCTCAACAATCAGTCAAGGAGTGGAGTGCTCTTTTAGATTCTGAATTTTAGCTGTTATGGCAGTATGTTTCTCAAGACCAAAACTGGGCTAATGCCTGTAAAGAAAGAGCATCTTTAAAACAAATCCATTCATTACAGCCAGGGAAACCCTTCTATTGTCAGTTAAAATAATTGGTTTCCCTTTAAAAAAAGTTTGGGGGGAATTAATTTAACAAAGAACATCTTTTAAAAAAATAGTTTACAAGAGAGGAGCCAAGATGGTGGCGTGAGTAGATCAGAGGAAATATCCTCCCAAAACCATATATGTTTTTGAAAATACAACAAATACAACTATTCCTAAAAGAGAGACCAAAAGATACAGTACAACAGCTAGGTTACATCTACATTTGTGAGACCCCAGCGCCTCACAAAGGGGTTAAGATACAAGCCATGGCCCGGCGGGACCCGAGAGCCCCTCACCCCAGCTCCAGGTGGGAGGAGAGGAGTCAGAGTGGGGAGGGAGAGGGAGCCCAGGACTCCTAAATACCCAGCCCTAGCCATCCGCACCGGGACTGCAGACACACAGGGAGTGGTGTGCTGGATACTAGGGAAACAGAACAGTAAAACCTGTGAGCGGGTCCCCACACCCAGCGGCCCAGGGACAAAAGAAAAGCGAGTGCTTTTTGAAAGTCTTAATGGGACAGGGACTCCACAGCTGGACAAAAGCATCCCGGAACACTGAGCCCAGCAGCTGGGAATCCCAGGGAACACCGGACGCCCTAACCCCCTGGGTGGCAGCACAGCTAAGAGGCCCCTCATGGCCATAAACAGCCTCCTGCCTGTTCCTCCTCTGGCACGGCCCCGTCATAGCGGAGCAGTGGCCTGAGGGTGGCCACGCCCACAGCACCCACAGAGCTTACTCCACGGCAGCCGGGCAAGAAACAGAGACCCTGCCGGCATGCAGCTACCCAGCACAAGCCCGTAGGGGCCGCCATTCTCCCAGGAGAGAAAGGCCACAAACTAGCAAGAAGAGACATTCTTCCAGCCGAAACACGTGCCAGCTCCCCACAACTACCTCTATCACCATGAAAAGGCAGAAGAATTTGATCCAGACCAAAATCAGAGAGACAACCGCTGAGAAGGAGCTTGGTGAGATAGACCTAACCAATCTTCCTGAAAGAGAATTCAAAATGAAGATGATAACCATGCTGATGGAGCTGCAGAGAAAAATGCAAGAGCTAACAGACAAAGTACGAAGGGAGACTAAGGAAATAAAATAATCCTGGGAAGGACTGACAAGCAGAATGGATGAGATGCAAGAGGCCATTAATGGAATAGAAACCAGACAACAGGAACACAAAGAAGCTGATACAGAGAGAGATAAAAGGATCTCCAGGAATGAAACAATATTAAGAGAACTGTGTGACCAATCAAAAAGGAAAAATATTCACAGTTA